ACCCACTCAATTTAATCAGATCTATCAATCATCTGTCTACCTATCTACCTACCTACCTACCATCATCTATCTATCTATCTATCTATCTATCTATCTATCTATCTATCTATCTATCTATCAATCAATCATACACACACAGATACATTTAGGGCATGTCCACGTTGCTACTGTTTCTACTCCTCAGTACCTTCAAAGTGCTCTCTACACCAAGGCTCTCTTCACTGCTGGAGATGCTTGGCGTGTTGAAAACACTAGAAAGTGTCCCTTTATTGCATTTCAGAGAGCTGTGAAAGAATAGTAGCTCAAAACAGTACAAAGTAGGGGAGAACAGGGCTTTTTAAAAAGGCAGGACACTGCTCCAAGAACATGCAAGGAGAGGGTCTCCTTCCAAGTAAAATGTATTCTTTGAAATGATCCGATGAATCAATATTTTTAATTCAAGATAACAAAACTCATTAGCTAAAATACAATGTCAGACGCTATTCCTGGTTTCTATACGTGCTATTGACATCCATGCAGAAAAAACAAGGGAGGTAAAAAAATTAAACTGTCATAAGGAATGCAACCAGCAACCGTTCAAATGAATATTTTGCCTCTGGGCCTCTAAAAGTTTTAAACCTGACACTTTCTTCCAGCTTGATGCAGAAACTTTGGTATACTTAAAGTATTCTAAGTATGATTGTTCAGCCAACTCGGTATCCATCTACAGCAATGTTTCTCAACATCAGCAACTTTAAGATGCGTCGACTGCTGGTTGGGGAATTCTGGTCCACACATCTAAAAGTTGCTGACATTGAGAAACACTGATCTACAGGAATAGAGTCCATCCCGGATTTTGCTACTCTTCTACTTTTCTACATTTATTTATTTGGTTTTTTGTTTAAAGCATTTATATGGCTGCCTATCTCAAAGATAGGACCGTGATTTCAATTAAAACCCCATACAATCTCACTGAGGACTTTGTTAAATGCTTTGACAATGTCAAGGAATGCTCTATCACGCACCTTTAGCCAACTAAACTAATCACACATTCTTTTAAAAAAGGTGTCAGATTGGTTTGGCACAGTGTTTCGCAACCTTGGTAACTTTAAGATGTGTGGACTTCGACTCCTAGAATTCCCCAGCCAGCATAGCTGGCTGGGGAATTCTGAGAGTCGAAGTCCACACATCTTAAAGTTGCCAAGGTTGAGAAACATTGGTTTGGCATGATTCATTCCTGACTAAACCCATGCTGAGTCCCACCAACCAATGCATTCTTTCCCACATGCTCCCAGATGGTCTACTTAATCATCTCTTCCAGAGTTTTGCCTGGTGTCAGTATCAAGCTGCACAGCCTTAATTATCAAGGTCCTCTTTCTTTCTTTTGTTGAAGATAGGAATGAACATTTGCCCTCTCCAGTCCTCAGGCTCTGATGCTAAGTCAGTCCTTCATGATATCTCAATTGTCACAGAAAAGGGATCCAAGATGACATCTGTGAAGTCCCTCAAGACTCTCAGATGTAACTGGTCTGATCCTGAAGACTTAAACTCATTCTTGTTAGCCATTTCTTTATTTATCTTGGTTGGCCACTCCTTCATTTTTCAGTTGTTCTGCTTAGTTCCACTTGAATACTGTTCCTCTTCAGAAAGAAGACTGAAGTAAATAAGAGTTGAAGAACTCAGCCCCCTCATGGTCTCCTGTTACTATCCTACTATCATCTCTTAGCAGGCCCAGTCTTATCTTTTTCTTTTTTTACCACTGACATATGTTATCTGCTGGTACATTCTCTTGGTGATTACACATATCTTTCATTTCATACACATACCCCCTTTAACTCTTAGATCAACTGAAATTTTTCTTTCCATCCACAAGTTTTTCCTAACCTGCCCCCCCACACACATACATTCTTGTGCTCCCTTTGACTTGAGGGTTTCTATCAATGGGATCCCACAAAGTACTTCTCAAAGTGTTCTGAAGTTGGCTGTTCTGAAGTCTAGCATGAATGCATCTACTCCAATTTCTCTTTAAGAAATATCTTGAACCCCGAGATATAATTCTTGCTTCCTCCCAAGTTACTACTGCTTTTACCTCTTCCACCAGCTGTTACCTATTGGCTAGGATCAGAGCTAGGAAGGAAGATCTCTTGTCTTTTGTTTCTAGATTGTTTCTAGAAAAGAAAACAATCAGTAAGACCACTGAGGAATTTGGGGGAGCTTACAGCCTTGGCCAGGCTGACTTTCCAATAAATGACCAGGTAATTGTATTCCACCTATTATTTCTATGTCTATAATCTCATATAGGACAACATTATCCAGATCTTCTCCCTCGCTTGGGAACCTATAGCACATCCTTATGATGGTATCTGAAATGACATACTGTTTATTTCATCAATAACCAGCAAAATCTGAAAAAAATACAACACAGAACTAAAATAGAGGAGATAAAATACTAGCATAACAAAAATAAAATAACAAAAATGTAACATACACTACTATAATGGTGTGTTAATTACCTATGCAAATGTAAATCTAAAACATTACAATCTATGAAATAAAAATCACCTAAAACAAGATAGCTAACAGGTATTGAACCTGAAATGATGAATAAAACAGAAATGATTATT